TGTCAGGGACTGAAGTCAGGGACTCAAATTGATGTCATGGATCTTCCGTTTCCTCCATGAAGGCTTCCTACCCAGTGAGTGGATAGCCTTTAACCTTGGGATTGGGGACGCCATTTTGTTGCCGGTAAATGTTTGGTGAATCTCCAAACCTAACTAGGAGATCCCGGTTCCCGGTGTTCCTACCGAATGCTGGGAGCCACCAACTCCCTAACAATCTGTATACGGAATACTTGTTTACATTGGGCTTATTTAAATTGATGTTTTGAGGGTCAAACATTCATTGAGTAACTATTCCATTCCCATGGATGGTCTGGGAGTGTTCCAGAGGTCTACAGGATGTGTAATAGGCAACTCTTTCGGCTCCGGATGTTGATCGTTGTGGACGTTCGGCGCCATCGAGTTCTTCGACTCCGCTCCGCGCCGTTCGGCTTCGCGTCGCGTCGCACTCGTCGCTCGAGGCCCAGGGTGCTGAAGTCGAAGCGCTCCTGAAGCGCTTGAGCCACGCGGCAGCGTCCAGGACGACGCGGGGGGATGTGGAGGTGGGTGAGTGCACTCTCGCCGTGCACCACCAGTCGCCCATTGACCATTGAGCTGCTTTTAATTGTTGTTTTTCTTGTGCGGAGGCGAGCCCAGGCAGTGGATTGAAACCTTCCCTCACCAAACCATGGTTTCGGTTGAAATCCCTTCCCTGTTCATTTGACCCGAAATTAATCAAATGGGCCGGGTGCCATGACCCACAGATATCCATTCCTGACACACTGCACGCGATACCCGCAACGTTCGGCGCCAAATGTTCGGCGCCACAGACACACCATTGACACGAAGTCACAGCGTTGCCACTCATCTATGAAAAGCATTGAAAAGCTACCCCGTACACTCCATGTATGGAATTTGTGCCTACATTGACCCCCCAAACCACCCCTGGCCAACTGATCGGCATATATGGCAGTTCCATGGAGCGTTTGGGTACGGTATGTGACAATCTCAATGAGGATCGAGATGTATCTCCGACTGGACACAGTTACAGGCACCGTGGAAGAGGCCAAGGCCATGAGTGCAAGCCTTGATCGAGGCATATTCTGCTTTCGTTGGGCACAGAATCTTGACGCCTTCACAAGGCGCCCACCAGGGCTTGTGGAAGAAGGTATATCTCTCCGGGGCTCTACCTCCCCAGTGGGGAGCTACCTCCCTAGTAGGGAGGTAAGTTTCCTTGCTTTTGCGGACTTGCGCAAAGGCACTTGGACCATCCGAGTCTCTGCTCGAATGTCTTCTCACAAGCCGTGCAGCCGATCCTGTTTGTGCCATAAGATACAAGCAGAGCCCTGAGAGAAGATTGATGAGATTGATACCCAGTGATCAGCCGCACTCCGGAGAAAGCTGGGCTAAACTTCGGAGGAGGGATGAGCGTTGGTCTGAATCAGTACACATGGCCACCATGGCCCGCACGATGATTCCTTCGCCATCTCATGCCATCTCCCAGCACGCTGAAAGAGGCAATTGAGGCTTGCCGTGCTGACGGTGATGACCTCATGATGGTTGACAACGGGTCAAGGTAGGTCAATCTTCCATCGGATGGTCTGGGACAGGAACCTTTTTGGAGCCTTTTGGCCAGGCTTCTTCTCGCCCCTTCGGGTACAACTCTCCAAATCGGCGCTCTTTCCAAGTACAGACAGGCTCCTACAAGTACAGACATGAGCTTCCGTACAAAATGCTTACGGCATTGCAAAACAAGATGGGTCATCAATTGGTTCCGAAAGATGAAGGGAACCACAAGCCGCTTCAATCACATCAGTCGGAGGCTTGCGTTCTTCGACCTGTTTTGCTGCGTTCTTCGACCTTGTGACAACTGCTCCAACACAATTTTACAATGCACAGGACCCATACTCCTTTTCACTCTTAATCCGCTTTCCAGACGGCTGGAGCTGCTGCAGGTCGATAGCCTTGGAGGCTTTCTTCTTGTCCTGCTTCAGCGGGAACGTGTGCTGCCACAAGATAAACCGAAAGCCTGTCAGAACAGTGCAGTCGGCAGGCTTCATGCCTGAACATGCCTGAACCATTTTGATTGGGAGCCATTGGGAGCGGCTTGCACAAGTTCGTGTGCGGAGCCAGGTACTCTGGAGCCAGAGGGTTGGAGCTGGCCGTTTCCAACCAAGCTACTGAAGCAAGAGTGGTCAGGTCATGTCAGGTCCTTAAAGGTCCACATCACCTAAGGCAGAGAAGGTCCTTGAAGCTTCCCATCCACCACGGTGAAGGTCCGTTTCGTCGCCCGCTCTGAGGTGCTGCCATGCTGGGAACGGTTGCAGGTAGCGTGTGGATCGAGTGGTCGGAGCGAAGCCTCCGCGGGTTCCTGAAGCGAGTTCAAGAGTCAGCTGTCCGGATCTCCTTTCTTCTTCGCAGACATGGGACATCCTTTGGGAACACCGTGGCACACCCCAAGGGGACCCCAAGTGGAAGATTTGCTCGTGGTTGACGTGGTGAAATTGTGTTTGGACATTGTTTGGGGTCGGGTAGATAGATGATAGATGTAGATAGGCAAGCAATCATGCTAGGTGAGCAAGCAATCATGGCCCATGGTGCACGAATTGGTGGACAGTGCACGATCCATACTGTAGGGATCCAGTTGTACCTGAAGCGGTTCGGAACGACGAACGACCCGACCCGACCGAACGTTTGGGCACCCAACAGTACTATAGTGTCTCCAAATCAGTACGACCTGAGGTGAAAGTACGAAAACGCATCCCTAGGGAGTGGCATTGACCATCCATGGAACTGGAAGAGTTGCCGATCAGTTCACCCCATGACCCATCCATGGATGGCAAGTGTTCCACCCTAAGGATCCTTGGACCCTCAGAAAGGGGTCGAAGCCTCTAGTTCACAAGGGTTTGGGGCCAACCAAACCCTTTTCATGTGTTGGTCTCCAGTCCGATGGATTCGGGTATCTTCGGGCCTCAGCTCGCACCGCGCCCCGGGGTGCGTGAGGGATGGAGTCAGTGTTTTCATCGGTGGAATCGTTGAGTCCTTGAGTCGCTGTGCACCAGCTGTGGTGGGGTTGGGGCAGCCAGGTGAAGACAGTCTGGGCTCCACGTCACCAAGGTTTGAGGGTGGCATGCTGGGTGGGCACACTGGAGACCGTGAGGCTTGAGGTAGTATGTTTTTTGTTTCGTTTTGTGTGTGTGTTTTTATTGTTTTGTTGAGACTCTGGATGTTGCCAAGCTGTTGTGACGAGATAGCACTGTTTGTTTGTTTATTTGGGATTATTTGGGGAGGTTGGTTTGGAGGGTTCATTCTCGATCAATGTTAGCATTCATCCAGGCTTGAAGCTGTTCGCACCTGTTCCTACGGTCCCGCTGGTTTCTATCGCTGCAGAAAGCCCATGAAGTGATAGGTGTTGTTTGGTTTGCAACAACGTATGTCGCGCGGGTCGTGTAGATCGTTGGTCTCGCCCGTTTGGTCTGAAGCGTAGATCCTTGGACATGCCCAATCGAAAGAACTGGATGGCACATGATGGCACCACCTGTCTTCCTACAGAGGTTAAGTGACCTTATAGGACCCTGCAGGGGTACCTATAGGATAGTCATACTATAGGGTTCTTCAACCTGTGCTGTTTTTTCGTAAGGATTTCATGGTCTTAGCCAGAGCCATGCCATCCACGTTGGCCCATGATGATTCCAGTGGAGATTCTCCGCGACCCACCAGGGTCCTTGTTTGTGCCTAAGCCCACACCGCCCACACGTTCGGGTGTGTCTTCAACACACAGCACAGCTGGGATGCCCAGCTACACCCTCGCACACTTCGAAGCGTGAAAGTTTCACAGCAAGCCAACAAGACACTGGAAACATCTGGAAACCCCTAAGTTCAGGTTGCAGATACTAATAAAGCTTTGTTGCTTAAGAATTCTTCCAGACTTTCATGACACTTCGCCCCGTTTGTGGGAATGAAAGCCCTGGGGCCTTGAAAGCTCATGGGTTCAACTCCTATGAAAACTCGCCTAAAGGGCCGCAGCGATGCCAAGATGGTTGAGAGGGTAATGACCCCCTAGGGATCCACTGCCACCGTACCTCAGGTTCGGTACGACGAACGACCTGACGTTTGGGCAAATGTCGACAAGTGTGGAACACATCACCTGAGGCTCGGTTCGAAAACGGATTTCATGGGGACCTGATGGCATGGTGAAAGTCAAGCACCACACCTCTCTTGCAAGACGATCCCTGCCAGCATCGAAGCGTTTGCGACGCTCCTACTCGGAGTTGAACGGAGAATCCTCGACGGGACTCACTCGCCAGCTTGATCAACCCCTCGATCCACCGAAGTCTTCGCCATCGATTCCATCCAAGACCATGGATCCATCCAGGCTAAGCGCCTGCACTAGGGTTTTCAGCTCCCTGCTGTGCTCCTGCACGTCGCTTCGCCGCCTGGTTCGACGACGGAGGTGGAGACAATTGGGCTTCCAATCCAACGACCCCCGATCCGACCTCCGTACTGGGCTCCTGGCGCCACTGAGATGCGGCGGAGATGGCATGGGAGGGTGAGCGCAGAGCGTGGTGGTAAGTACTGGATGAAAAAAACATGTGGTGTTACATAGACTTACATGATGTTACCCTTGTTTTTTTGTTACTTACATGATGTTGTTTTATCGGATCGTTTTTCCTTTATTACACTGTGTTTGTTGTTGTTCAAACATTGCACAGATGTGTCGGTCCTGCATGGTGATTTGAGATTGGGAAGGGGCAGTATGGAATCATATTTCTAGGTGGGCACTTGGTGCTAGGAGAGGTGTGCCCCAGTGCTTCAGTTGGTGTATTTCCAGAGTCGGTGGAACCCCAGCTCTCGCATGTGGCTGCTGTGGATGTTCTCAAGGTATCTCAAGGTATCTCAAGGTTGCTGGAGTGTGCTTTTTTGGGGACAAGATGGAAAGGGAATGGTTTGCAGAGATTGGGCACCCAGCCTGGGCAGATCGAAACACCAAAGCCTGACGGCCTAGGTTGGACTGCTTAGTCTTCATGGCAGAGAGGCCAGTCCAATCCATTGGTCTTGGGGAAACCTGCATCATGGCGGGTTGATTGTAAGAGCATGGTTCTGTGGAAGGTACCGAGTAGTTCAATGAGTTCAATTCAACAAGTTCCATCGTATTGGCATGACTGTTCTTGAAGCTTCAGCGGTTCAGGTCCTGTCCATAGCTGACATCGCGGCCTCAGAGTCTTTCATGAAAACGATGGGAGATCTCCCTATGAAAAAATATGAAAAAACATTACATGTCCCGTGCAAAACCCCCATGTTTTTTCATCAGGGAGGCCGCTCCGAGCAACCAGCGGCTGGATCTCCGCTTTCTTCGCCTCTAAAGCGCCAGGTATCCATTGGCCAACAGCCAGATGATTCGCGAGGCGGGTGGACGGGAAGGAAGCATCGGACTCCGGCGACATCGGACTCGGGAGCAGCTTGAAAGGAAGTGGAAAAGAAGGATTAGTAAATAGAATTAATAAGCTACTAGGAACAAGTGCATCACTTCTAGTAACAAGTGCCTTACTACTAGTAACAAGAAGCTAATAGTAACAATAAGCCGATCTAAGTGGGTTGAAAGGGAGAAGACAAACACGAACCAAGTGACAAAGGACGAGAGAGAGAGAGGGAAAGGGGATGAAAGGGATGAAAGGGGCATGGATGCGCAAATTAGATTCAAAACGTAGACCATCAAAGGGACGGAAGAGTATTGGAGATGTTTTCTATTTTTTTCTGTAGCTTCAAATTCTGAAGCATCAGATGTTGTCCAAACCAAATTTGTCCAATTCTGTGTCCATGACTATATAGTGAGGAACGCCTGCAGTTCAGTCCTGCCTTGATCGACAGTCACGTGAATGACATTCTAAGGAATCCCATCATTTGTTTCATGTTCCTTCCACGGCTGACTGAACACGCATTTCGTGTTTTTGGCTTTTCCCGCCGCAGCAGCGGCGAGCACTGCATGTCCGCGGCACGACCAGAGGCCCAAAGTACTGGCATCGACTATCCCTTCGCCGTGGCCAGCATCAACGTCACTCAACACTTGGCCAGGCACCGGAGACGGGATCACCTGCAAAGACCCTTTTTGCACCCAAGAAACACGAAAGCGGGTCATTGTCCACTTGCATGATGATTGGAGGGGTAACGACATGTAACGAGTCTAGACAGTGTCATGGATTCCACATGGAATCTGGATGATTTTGTTTGCTGGATTTTGCCGGTGTTTCTTGCTTCATTGAAAACTGGGCAGCTTCATGGACACATTTTTGGGCAACTTCCAATACTACAGTGACGAGTTCAATCTTCGGACCTCCCAGGGTTGTGCCCGATCAAGAATCATTGGCCAGTTCACAGGCTAGGGAAGCACCATGCTTTTAGGGCATCGAAGACCCTTGAGCAGCAAAAGCACCAACACCCACACACACAGGATATTGTGTTTTGAATGCAAATCTGCAGTTGGGCGCCAAGAAATTGTGGCCAAACACATGTCCACCACAAGGCAATGAAAGGCCCTCAATTCTTTGTTGCTACTGTAATCTCCCCTTCATAATGCCAATGTCCAAACAGCAGTCATATATAGAATATAGAGAACCTGTCAGGATGTACCTCATTTCTCAAGTGATGAGATTGTGATCAGGTACTTGCACTTGGTCCGGGATGCCGTTGGATGTCCGGGATGCCCAGTCGGGAGAGTCGGGAGCAAGGTCGGGAGCGAGCCGCACCTCTTCACGGAGAGGCAGCCTGATGGGCCTTTGGTTGGGGGGTACCCAGGGTACCGAAGGTGGACCAGCGACCATGTCCGCAGTACTTGTTTTCTTCAGAAGACTATGGGTGATCCCACAAGATCCCCATGACCCGTGCGAGTGGACATCGAAAGTGGGCTACACATATGGCATCGTATGGCATAGGGTCTTGGAAGAAAACATGCATCCTTGCGCGATTGAACCAGGGCAGTGTTTGTTTTCAGATGAAGAAACCTTGCAGGAAGGAATAAGAAACCCAAGCCATGTCGGGGTGAGGCCGTTCTTTTCTGGAAACCCTCACGGGTGGGGCCCAAGAAGACTCAGGATTCTCCATCCGTGCGGGGGGCGCCGTGAAAACTTCTCGACTAGCTTCTTGGAGTTTCAACAGAGGCACGTCTCATAGGTGCACGTCTCACATCTTCCCATCCGCACCGAATCCCTTCCTACCAGCACCTTCCAACAGGTCTCCTTTGGAGGGTTGTTAGGCCCTGTCTCAGGTTTCAATTGGTGACCTGTTGGAGGTGCTGGTATAGATGATTTGGAAGAATCGTGTTTTCATTGTTTGTTATTCTGTTTTCACCTTTCAGATCAAACACCGATGCATGATGCATGCATGGCTGCCTAGACCGACCCAACTCTTTGAGGTGCGTTGGACATCGCCTCCCCGCGCACCGTGCACCGCTTTGCCGGGCCGGGCAGCGAGGGAAGGATGGTTGGGCATTGGGGGAGGATGGTGCCAGGAGCCTAGCAAACCACCTGCCCCACCTGTCGGACCTCAATAAGGATAGATACTGTAGGGGGGACCATTATATAGAGATCTGTTCCTTTTCCCTTTTGATAGAGCCAGTCGGTCAGCAAGAACCCTATTTCCCAGACCAGACGAATGAGACTTGCACATGACTCCCGATCAGGCCAGGGGTGGTTGACTTGTCGTCATTGTATAAATATGCCATATGGATTTCATTGGGGGTTTTACCGAAAGGCCTGCCACCGAACCATCATCCACTGGGCATCTTGGGAATGGGATAGACCCCAAGATGGGGCGCCGTCGGTCCTTCGCTCCGGTCCGGTGGGACACGTGGGACAGGCTCGGAAGATCGAGGAACCTCCGGAGAGGGCATCTAGATATATCGATCAAAAGAAAAAGGGAGGGTCATCAGAAAGAAACAGGATCAAGACAAATAGGAACAGATAAAAATAAGAAGGTTGGTCTGGAGCCAAAAGGTTTGTTCTTGTTTTGTTGCCGCCCCCACCAACTGATTTTGCTGTATCTTCAAATTGGAAGATGAGGTTGACCAATCACTTGTAACAGTTCGGGGATGTTGACCAGATTGAAACAGATTCATTTACTGTGATCAATGCAATCAAAAAAAAGTAAGTTATAGGCCATAGACACATAATACTGTGTATATATATATATATTTATACAGACATTATCGACAATAAACAGGTCTATGAATTCGCGCAGACGGGGTGTTCAGTCATATAATGTGTCCTTTCAGCTTGGAGTACATTCAGCGGACCGCGCGACCGACCGCGCCAGGCTCCTGCAAAGGCGGTGGGACCCGGTTTGGGTTGTCGATCGGTTGGGAACACCAGACCTGCGCAGAAGACCAGCTTGAGGCAAGCCGGCTTTTTCTGCACTGGTCACATCTTCTTAGGAAACCTGTACAACAGGGTCACATTGAGGTTGTTCATGCATCACATTGAGGCCATATTGCCTGTACAACAGGGTCACATTGAGGTTGTTCATGCATCAGATTGAGGCCGTATTCAACATGTTTGTTGCTTGGTGGACGTGCCTCGTGACAGATATGGTTGTTGGATATTTTCGCTCCTAGGCCTGCTGAAAAAACTGTTTGATAAGCTGGAGGACTTTGGGATGTCAGTTCCACTGATCCAAAGTCTTGTTCGAGTTCTCGTTGTTCACCAGACGCGAACAGTCTATGCAGATGAAACGAACAGATGCCTTACAGGTGACCTCATTAGGTATCGTTGGTATTGTCATGCCAACATAATAGAAGTGCCAGGACTGAAACCAAGAATTGTTGTGTGCATACACGTGATTGTTTTTACCAGCAAGAAGGAACGGCACCAAGCTGGCTATAGCAACATGTGGCACCAATAAAACAGTGCTAGTTGCCCAGCCTTTCTGAACATACGCCACAGACTGGGTTTGACTGGGAGCAGGTTTGACTGGGTCAGACTAAACTCGTAGGGATGGTCCTTGAATTCTGTTGATGTGTTTTTCTTTGGACCATCAATAGAAATCAAATAGGACACATCCCTACGATGGATTTCTGGATTTTAGTGGGTCAGACCTCGATTTCTCCGTTCCAGACCTCTTTCCCGGTCCCTTTCTTTGACCCGGCGGACCTGCCTCTTTCCCCGAACCGACGCGGTCTCGACCCCGCCCCCGCTGACCGCCACGAACTCCACGGCGAGGCAAGAAGAGCCCATCGATGTGACGGTGTCGCTTGGGTCCGAACGGGACGGAGGACCGCGGAGGAACGCTACGACCGAACCGGTTCGCTACGACACGGACCGGACAGGACGTGCCTCGACCCGCGATCGCGCTCCGAAAAGTGTCGAAACCTCGGGGGTGACGCCATTGGAGGCGAAAAACGGGTGACGGGTGCAAGATCGAAGGAGATTGGGAACACACGCAGATGGGTCTTCACCAAGGTGAGAGATGTATAAGGTAAAGTAACACAACCCAACACATCCAAGCACGCTCTTTTTCAGAGATATGCAGCAGATCGGGGCCCTTGGTTCGGAAGCAAGTGGATCTTCATGGTGACTCGGGTCCGTGGATGTAGGTCTTGAAGATCAATGGATTGGTTAAACGGAACATCTACAGGAAACCATGGTTTGCACTTCCAAAACTATGGCTGTGCTTCAGATTTGCCGTAAAGTTCTGGGAGAAGACTTCGTCACTGAAGGTAGTAGTTCCGTGCTATCCCCAACAGACTTGCCTCGAAGTCATTGACTCCAGCCTGGAAACTGAAACGGGCCTGGAACAATTGAAACATCACTCTGGTCATCAGACTGGTGATTCGTCCGGCCTGTTTGGGAACGTGTTCGCCCCCCATAAAGATTCCGAGCAGGATCCAGCATGATCCAGCCACCATTCCCTTATGGTTACTACTAAGCACCTGTTAGCTCATGCTGGGTGATGCACCCGGTCACGATGCTCGAGCACCACGTGGATGGCCGAACCCGAGCCGCCAGACATCGCCCCAAACCTGCGATGGGTGTGGTTTGTTTGGAGGTAGAACAAAGGTTGGTACTGTCATCCTATACAGTATGATAGAATCATGAACAATACAGGGATAATCCATGAACATCCTAACAAGCAAGAGGAAACTGGTCAGTCCTGTCTTTTTTGGGGGGCTTGGTTTATATACTATAACATACTATAACTCAAGGATGACTGGGTAAATCTTCGATTCCCCAGCTCTCAACCCAACTCCGAGGCCCTTCTGCGAGCTGCATGCCGCAGTCGCCTGGGCGCATCGGGGGAGTGGGGGGGACGTTGTTTTTTTTCCCCAAATGGATCCAAATGGCCCAAGATGGAGCTCTCAGCACCACGCGCTGGGAAGGCATAGGAACTGAGGATCTCGTCAGCATGAGAATCTTTTGAGGTGTAATTGCTGTCGAGACCTGTACCTAACCACGCTTTACAATCATTAACCCCGACTAAGTGTACAATAACCACGCTGTCATGTGGTCCAATGAGATGAACATTTGGGGCATCGTTTTCTGCAACACTTCGTCCTTCGACATCGGCATGACATCATGAATATGAGAAGCCTTTTAACTACTGAGTCGTGTCGCTGGTATTTCATGTATTGTTCCTTTTCGGGTGAATCCCCTTCAAGGATCTTGTTTGTGTCTCCCAGTTCTGGAAGCCAATCCCTCAGGACTGTATGTCCAACCCCCGTCGGTGATCCCCGGTGACCCAGGTGATGACTCGTTCGGGGCTCCCAGGGTGCCGCGGATGATCGGGTGAGAGGTCCGGTCGGCTCGGTGTGGTTGTTCAATGGTACCAGGAACGTCAGAAAGGAACAGACACAAGGAACGCACCACGGATTCCGGGTGTCCATTAATAGCCCCTTAGAGGTCAAGGGGTGTCCATTAACCACCCCTTGGGGGTCCTGGCACAAGGAACACATTTGGATCTGTTTTTGTGTGTGTGGACTGCTCTTCATGCGTTCGATCTAGGGGGAAGCCCTTCCATTCATGGCAACATATCGGTAGAGCTGCGATGAAAGGTGTGTTTGCCATGTCTATTTATTTCACCCAAACTCATACTTCCAAACTTTGCACCAAAGTTGATCCAAACTCACACTTCCATTTGACCTCCAAGGTCCTCTCACTCACTCACAGACACACTGAGACACCCACAGCAATCATCAAGACTAGTGGCTGAAACCTGCCACTGTCCCAGCTGTAGCTGCCAGGGTTGCCATGCCTCGCAAGAGAGAGAGAGAGGGGGGTGGCCCAGAACCTGACGGGCGGGTGGTGATAAAGCACCACTCCAGCCTTGAGAGCTTCGGGCACCAACCTCCCCAACCTCCAAGTGTTCAATCAAATCGTCCATGCTTCGCCACCTTCAACTTCATATTCAGATCATGCACTTTTTATTCGGAGGATGAGTCGGCTCTCATCGATGTATCATGTGTCATCGATTGGACTCATTGGACTCGATGGACTTCGTAGACGGCCGTTAGGTGTCATGTTATAGACGGCCAGACGGACGGACGGAAGGACGGACGGTAGAGAGAGAGAGAGAGAGATACAGAGGGGTGCAGAGGGAAAGAGACAGAGAGACAGACAGACAGAACATCACAATACAATAACAATAGATAAAGAGAGAGAGAGAGAGTGTGAGAGAGAGAGACAGAGAATGACAGAGACTTACAGCACACCACAAAACAATGTATAAGTCAACGCAATAAAAATATACAAAGACCTTTTTGCAAACAGCAACAGCCTTGCAAATTTATCAACAAGTTAATTTGTCACCGCATGATTCACTGCAAGTTTCACCGCAATAATGGTTCACCGCAAACATGAAATTTAATAGCATATTTAAATAAACGAATATATATATATATATATAATATGGTGGTTTTGTTTTTAACAAACACGCAAACCATGTATATAATTCATTAGTTTGGAAAATATGTTTGCAAAACAATGTTTGACTTGAAACAATAATGCGTTTATATTTGCATCCATCTAGATAACACACAAATGGTTGCTTTTAATATTTACATACATTTCAAACAATTTGTGTGTGTGTGTTTGCAACATTGTTTGCTTTTGTTGTTTATTTAAACAATATCCTTAAAATTGTTGAAACATGTTGAAACATATTAAAGCAACATTTTGTCAAAAAGAGTTTTGGTAGGGAAAGGAAGGCCCTTCACACTTGAGCTTTTGCAGCACCCCAGACTGTACGGAGCAGACTTTCTGCATACATGTGTCCAACGGTTTCTACTTGCAGGACATTTAAACTGGTTTTTGGAGACATCACGTACTCAGGGACTTTGTGACTCCTTCCTGGGAAGGCACAAAAAATGTCAAAAGGTCATCTTGAAGCTCCTGGTGAAGATGTTTTCGTTGTTTGTTCTTTGTGACAGTTTTCTCCCCTGATCTAGGTGGTGATACGTTTATGTTCAACCTTTACTTGGGATGATTGAGCCCACTGACTGATCTTGTTCAATGAGTTGAAGCCACCGTGCCCAGTTTGTTGCCCATCAAACCCGTGGGACCGACCCCACGCCCCAAGGCTTGCATTGCAATTGGCGTCGCCGAAAGAGGGAGGACCCGCAGATCACCGTGCCTCGGACCGACGCGTGGACCGTCATCCCGGACCCATCGGCCTCGATGCTGGTGAATCAAGTGGTGGGAGGCTCCCCCATGAAGGCCCCATGTGATCGGACGTTGGCAACTGGTGAATGTGCATCTCTCTGAAGGGTGAAAGATGTGAAAGTGGATGGTGTGGCCTTTGGAATGAGAATGGTCCGAATACCAAAGCGGTGGTGCCATCCATTTCCTAGCCTTCTGTTTGACCATTTCACTCCACAAATTGGAACGACCTGGTTGGCTGATGTGTGAAATCCGCATTGTAAAACCATGGTGCGACGAGGATTGTTGAGGCAAAAACGGCCGGGAATCGACGTTTTTGGTTGGATCCATCAGGGGCCGAACTTCGCCTCTGGAGTTGTGATGGATCTGGGTTCAGTAGTTGTGACTTGACGTGGGCTGGCAAAAACGGTGTTGTTCCTGTTGTGTTGGTGTTAGCATGTTGTTGGGATCAACATCTAGCAACCCTCAGGATTCCACACTGGAGTAGTCCGAAGAAGGGTTGGTGGAATGCACAGTTTGCTGCGAATGACAAGAAATTCTATTGTTGAACTGTGCAGTGGCCAAGATTGAGTATTTTAACATACCCGATTTCGCTTTGATTGTCTTGGGTACAAACAAATGAACAAGCAACGAAAATGGCACCCAAACAACCCTGCATGTACGTCAAGGACTCACCCCAAACTGCCATATTCTGAGTCTGAATCTCCGGTTCGTCAACGCTCATGCGTTCCAGTTCCATGCGGCCCATGCATGCATATTTGCCGATCTATTCCACCCAGGTCCACCACCGTCGTTCAGTCCCATGGATTCGTGAAAGGTGCACACCATTGTGCTCTGACAGGTCATGAGCTTCGCACCGGTGCTGGAGGAGACCTTGAAGAGCACCCGGAGGTGGCGACTTCGGGTGATGGGGCGACCGTGATGGGTTACAGCTACCACTAGCTTCTTGTTACTAGTAGTTTTGCCAGGAACTACTAGTAAGCGTCCTTGCTCCTAGTAGCGATGCCCTTTGTTACTAGTAGCTAGTTGCTCCTAGTAGTAATGCCCTAGTTACTAGTAGCGATGTCTTTGTTTCTAGTAGATGTTCAAAGGATTGGATCGAAGATATTCTAGCATATGAATGCTTCCTGCATGGATATTCTTTGGTGTATGATTGAAATGGCGCGATTTTACCGCCTTGTTTGGCTGATTGTTGGGGGTTCTGCTTTAAATTGAACATCGGCAAATACAAACCACTACATTGTCCATGTGTGGGCCTTGACATGAAACACGGCACATCCAGTGTCCATATTTTGACTTTTTAAAGTGCAAGCCGGTGAAATCAAAGCCATGCATTTTTGCTTGTTTGGGCTCTTGAAAGCTGGCAACTACGAAACAATACATTTTCTGCATGGGAGTCGTCATTGAAAGCTTGCAAACATGAACATATACATGCTCCTTATGCGGCTCTTCATTGAAAGTCGGCAATTGCAATCCATGTTCTTGGTTCTGACGTTTTGTCTAACATGCTCTCCTGTTTGTGTCTCTGCCTTTGAAAGGCTGCTGATGAACTCTGTCGGTTGCATGATTGCATAGGCTACGTGACCGCTCGACTAGCACAACAATCTTACTCCGCTTGTCGCAAAGAACATCCACAATCAGTTTCAATAGATGACAAAGTTCCAGAGTGGCCAAGAGAGACATTCGACATCGTCGCACCTGCAACGGAGTGGCACCAATGGAATTGTGTCAATGGAATCAATGTTTCATCGCATGCACAATTGTTTGGTTTTCAACAGTGAAGGGAGTTGCACCCAACGTTTTATTTGTTGAATTCGACACGGTATGGACATACATAGACACTTTGCAGATGTGATACATCAAGCATCAATTCACACAACGTACGAAACACGTGAAACCATTCAATTGTTGTAAGGTTCATGTTTGTTCACTTTGTTTTTTCTAAAGTGGCATGACGTTATTTAAAAAAAAAAAATATATATATATATATAGTAATAACAATAACAATAAGAGTACCTGAAGCATCCTTTGTAGCACTTGTTTCTGGCGAACCATGGTTTGGAGCACTTATTGGAAGTTTGAGCGTTAGTTGAGGGTATGTATCAAAGGGTCACTGCCATATGTTGTTCATAGGGTATCGCTTCGCTGAAAGTGGTCTAACACCAGCAAGAACCCTACATAAACCTACACAAACCCTACAGGGAACAATAAAAATCCCAAGAAAAAACAACACTTTGGACACAACCTTTCACTAAAGCTCAGCCCTGGATAGTAAATGTCAATGCCTTCCAATGATATGGCTTTGCCGCTTTTGGGCACAACCTTGACTAAAGCTCAAACCCTTCCACTGGCTTTCCCACTTTTGGGCGCCACTAGCCTGTGGATAGTAAATGTCATTGCCTTCCCATGTCATTCCCACTTTTGCCTTTGCTTTTTCCACATGTTTCCACCATTTGCATGGTTCTTAATCCATCGTTTCCACTCTAACTGATGACACAATTTTCCCACCTTTGGGCACCACTCTGATGGTTTTCCCATCAGAACCTGAAGGAACCTGACCTTTTCCCACAAAAACCTGAACTTTTCCCACAAAAGCCTGACCGTTTCCCACAAAAACCTGAACTTTTCCCACTTTTGGGATAGCCTCCAAACGAAAACAATAAGAACAAATAACACTAAAAGTTGGAAATGATTGTTACATTTGGTTTGTTATTTTTTAACATTTGATTGCTTGATCTTATATGCAGTTTTGCAAATGTTTTGAACACTTTCCCGCTTTGGGGGCACCCCTCAACCACTCCCAAGGGGCAGGCAATGTGAGTGCCTTGTGTCCAAGTCAAGTCAAACCTGACAAAATTCAATCTGAAATCCCAACTCTTTCCCAGGCATTTCCCAAATGGGAACTTAGTAGGATTTAGTATGATTTAGTCAGGTTTTTACAGGTTTCCAGCACAGTGAAGAAGTGCTCTATGAACAACCTCGAAGTGGGATTCTAAGAATGTACACTTTTCAGGACATATGAGCGCTTTTTGGTGATGTAAATTCTAAAGCCTACTGGTTCCTGACCAGTGTCCTTATCAACCCTTGTGGGCCTTTGGGGGCCCTATGGACCGGGTGGAAATTCTATATGACCTCCTACTAGTAGTATGTGCAAATGAAACCACAAAGGTTTGGTTCCAACCTTCTGGGCGTGCTTTACAACAATTTGTCCAAAAAGGATGCCCGCAACTTGGGCGCAAATTCCCGCAACCCGGGCGCAAATTCCCGCAACCCGGGCGCAATTATAAAAAGTGGCGGATTGTTATTTTACTTACAGTAAATATGTTATGTTGATTCTGATGATCAAAGAAAGGGGTTGCTGGCTGCCGCTTCGTAGTGTGTGAGCGTGTGTTGTGTGTGCATGGGATGGGTGCCAGCATGTGGCAGGGGAATGGACTTGAAGACCACATAAGGTGGAATGAAGCTACATCTGACTTTCCAGTGGTACGCTTTTTCAAGGCATGAACACTTTTTTTGATGATGTGCAGTTTTTTTTCTGTCACTTTTTTCTGCTACGACGGAGGGTTCAGGTAATAATAATGAACCCAAACAACTAACAATAAACATACTCTGAAAATTCAGTTTGGTCAGCAACTCAGCAACTGGCCAACAATGTCAGCGGAGGGTGAGTTGTGTGCAGCCGGTTGTGAACGGTTGCTGTGCAGGGTTGCCGATGTTTTTGTCCGACAAACAAAGGGATTTCAACCTTAAATCAATCTTGCGTGGAACATACGTTTTATAGGTGTTCATGAGCAGAAGACGAACTCAAATTCATCAATGATTGGCAGGTTAGGGGCGTCGAGTATTCTTCCATAACCTGGTGACGTTTCGGGTAATTATCAATGTCTTTTGTTTAGATACCGCACTGTTTGACATTAGTTCATGACCACCCTCGGCGCATTGAACATCAAAAGCCCTTCTTAACAGCAGCTTCCATGCTTGCGCGATAAGAAGCAGGGTTCCACGGTTCGAGCATTTGCCTGGAATTATCGTGGTGGAAGTGCTGTGAGTTCTCCGCCTATTTGGTCTTCACGATCATCACGATCAGACGTGAACTGCCATCCACTTTTTTAGACGTAACCATAATGATTCGTTGGGGAGTATAAAGCTGTTCATCCCTTTTTCCCATCTTTCTTCCACCTTCGTTTGGAGTCGGGGGGCAACCAATTGTTCAAAAAAGTTTGGGCAGGATTCTAAGGAGTGTAGTTCTCCTTCCACAAATTCGGACCAGGCTCTTTGTGCCCGCAGGTTCTGCGAAGGAGCGCTCATGAGCAGTTCGCTCGGGAAACCTGGACCAGTTCGTGCATGATGAAATGGGTGAAGTATTGGTGAAGTATTTTTCATGTGGGGCAATGAATATATATGTTTTGTTGTTGGGGTCTTTAAGCACAAAAAATGGGTTTGCTGAAGTACGAAGATGTCCGAGGCCTGCCTGAAAGAGGAAGTGGCTGGTGATTCTCCGTATTCCAATACACCCTAATTTGTGCCAATGAGCGACCACAAACTACAAGTATCTATATGTTTACACATAGATATAAGTCTATAATAGTCTAATATATAAATATATAAATTATGATTATTGCTATTATATAGTATTGTTTATATAATGTAAGCAACAACAACAACAACAAAGTCACAGTGTATTTCTATTTCGATTCCTATACTTTAGCATGATGGTGTGAGGTCCCATACATCGGGGCTTTCGCCGTTTTTCCCAGCTGGACAACCAGGTCCGAGTTCCGCTCCTGGGTGGATGAGACCGAGGCGCCCTGGTGGTCCAGGATGGATGAGACACGCATAACCAGGGTCACCTCAAGCAGAAATAGAAGATGGAGAAGAAGGCTGAAATTCCTTGGGTCAATTTGGGGCTGAACACCATTGTGAGGGGGGAACCAAAAACCCTTGAGGAGTCTTGAGATTTTTGTTTGATATATGTATGTGTTTGTGTTCGACTGTTCGTATTGCTCAAGGATGTTTAGAAATGAGTCTTTAGATATGAGGGGAGTCCCAGAGCTCTTTGGAAGGATCCGCCCATGCGACCGAGGACGAGGCCGCGACCGGCTTAAAAGAGGTCCGCAGCATGTCATGCCAGAACTGAAAGAGTTCCCCCTGAGCAAACCAGCTTTTGCATCGTGATAAAGATAAACAATGATGTGAAACTTGGCAGTTCTTTGAGTGGCCATTTCGGATTTGCCCACACGCAAAGTGTTTTCTTCCCGAGAACTGGCAAGAACCCGCTTCTTGACCGACAACCACGATACTATCCGACTGGACAGCAAGCATGCAGAGATATCAAACATGTGTGCAGTAAATCTGATGCAAACCCTGTTAATCTGCTTGGATCACACTTGGGTCTTGGTGTAAAAATATATACAATTATAATGGATCATGGCCGCCATGGCGCTGAGCGAACCAGAAACCTTCGCTTTGAGAGGGTGTGGTGGTGTTGAAAGGGCGGAAGCAACCCGTGTTTCATTCTGTTTGCAGCAGACATCTACAGACCGATCCTCCCAAGTTCGTCCGATTCTCCCCGTTCGACCGTCGGCTCCTTCCGGCCACAGCGGGGACCGCGGGTCCAGCGATTCAGGTGCGCGACGGTGCGGAGCCTCCATTGAGTGTGCCAAGTGTGGCGTTCCGGCCTGAGGAGGAGATTTGGGTGGACGGGGTTGAGGTTGGGTAGATTCCAGCAGGAGAATGAGGAGACGTTGATGAATTCTTTCCAAGATTTGGAGGGTCTTTAGCGTCTTTTGCGTCTTTTGCGAACAGTTATTTAATTCGTGGCTTGTTTGTTGTGAACATTTCTGAAACGGGGGCCCCGGTGACCTGGTAGTCGCAGGTCAATCATTTGGTGCAAATTCTGGGATGGGACCTTGTTGTCCAGAAAGGTTTGGATCAGGTTTTAGCAAGAGCTTCGTGTAAGGCAGAGTGGGGGGGATATGGATTCTTTCAATTGTTTCTGAGAAATCCTGAGCACCGCTCCACCCTTTTCTTTTGAGGATGACACGTCAGTCATGAGCACTGAAACCAACCCAACCTGAACTTTGGCTCAAGAAATAAGTGCGGCAGCTTTTTTAGCTTTTGGTGTCGCACGCTCAGGTTATGAGCCCAAGCGACCTGCCATGTCATCGACAATGATGAGAAGACGGAGAGCAGCGAGCGACAAAGCAGCTGCGGAGGCGGCGCCGGTGGTGATCGGCGAAGCGGATCGCCGCCTGGATGCGCTGATAGAGGAAGAGGTGAGGAGGTCGCGATCGGCGGACGCGGGGCCGAGGAGGGCATCTGATGTGGGAAGCACTCCTAGGGGTCCACCAACCTCCTTTCGACCGCCTGTGACTGGGTCCTCGGAGGGCAATCTCAAGGCACTGGAAGATGGAGGAGAGGTGGGGCCAGCAACGCTGAAGTCGGTGAAGACCAGCGAACCGGTTGGGGCACCTTCAACATCGACCAGTTCCACGGTGGGTTTGGGGGCACTTCATGACGCGGTCCAACGAACTTATCATGCACTTCAACAAGCACTAGCGGGACAACCTCAAGGGCAGGATCTACTCGCACCTCTTGGACCTGGCACCGATCCGGGAGCTCGAGGAGGGCTGTTTGGTGATGGCAACGGCTTGGTGAATCCACGAGCCTTGGACTATGGGCAGGGAATGGGACAAACACCAAGTCGATCACCCAACATCAATCCCTTTTGGAGTCCTGGTATTCAGGAGGCTGCGAGGCGAAATCTGGTGGAGGGAGGTCAACCCGGAGGTGAAGGTCTTCTTCCTGGAGGTCATGCGGAAGCACGAACGTGTGGGAGCACTCCGGCGGCTGCTGGGGCAGGTGCTGGACCTATGGCACAGGACTCGGGATCGATGTCGCCGGGTCCGGAGGATGTGGAAGCCCTGAGAACCAGAATTCTCCGGGAAGCTGAGGAAGCATTTCAAAGGGAACTTCGTCGACTTGGCACTTCCCGTGAACCAACGGACACGACTTCCTACAAGACGGTTTCAAGTGGTCAACACTTGGGAGACCCTGTACCGGATCAACCCCCTGGACTACCTCAAGGGCGGCATCCATTGTCGAGCTCTACGGTGGACCATGGATCTGGGCAGAAGGTGGTGAGAATTGGTGGTGGGGCCTCGACTGCATCGACGACGGAGGCGTTGAGGAACCTTGAACTTCCTGCCCTACCCTCTCCGAATGTTGAGGGAGCTTCAATCTTGTTTGGGGACTGGCTCACTATGAGTTTTCCCCTGATGGCTGACATTTCGCATAGCGCCAAGGCCTGGTGGGAAGAGTCACTCTCCATTGCGCAGGAGCACTATGCACGTTGGTTGACGATGACACCCCTGGAGCGACTGCGTGCGAAACCAGTGGTGGTGGTGGAGCCTGCACTGCAGAGGATTGAACAAAGGGGCATTGCAATGTTGTTGGGGGCATTGCCTGATCAGCTCCGGCGGGATCTTGTCAGTGGGCGGCAACTCTCGGTGGTCCACATCCTGTACCGCTTACATGTGGCGTACCAGCCGGGAGGAGGGGCGGAAAAAACGCAACTCCTCAAAAGTTTGGTGGAGACAAAGTTTGCCACGGGGACGGCAGATTTGCTGACACAAGTGAGGTTATGGCGACGATGGCTGACCAGAGCGCAGGAACTTCACCTTACGCTCCCTGACCCTGTGGTTCTCATGGTCACGGTGCAGCGCATGGTTGACAGTGCCACCAAATCAGGAGGTGCTCAGATGGCCTTTCGCATTGCAAACGTGAGGCAAGAATTACGAGTGGATTATGCACCAACGGTGGAAGCAGTGATGGAGCTGTCTGAGTATGTGCAGGCGGAGGTGGAAGAGGTCTCGCTGACGACACCAATGAAGTCCCAGCCGGCAACCGCCACTACCGGAGCTGCAGGAAATCAGACCGTGACATCTGTGAAGGCTATGGCATCATCCTTTGGGGCCACGGAGTCGGAGGATAGGTCTGCACAAAAGCCGGCCTGCAAGTTTTGGAAGAGTGAGGAAGGGTGCAAGCGTGGCACCAATTGCACCTATGCCCATGACACCACGGACATGAAGGGTCGCTGCTTCAATTGCGGAGGACTTCACATGAAGAAGGATTGTCCGAATGGGGCCAGGGGAGTGAAACCGGATGCGAAAAGGGTGGCAAAGGTGAAGACCGCGAAGGACTCCGACAAGCCAGAGACGGGGGAGAAGCCTATGCCGGAGACGGGTAAGCTCGATGATGCACGTGGAGATTGTGGATCACCGCCGACTGCAAGGGCGGAAGTGGTGTCGGACAAGCCTCAAGGCAAGGATGCCACGGCTGAGTTGTTGACGGAGGCCACTTCGTTGTTGAAGGCGTTGAGGACTATGAAGATGCTGCGATTGAAGGAGCTGAAGCCACAATGTTCGAATGGTTGTGAAGCATTGGCTCTCTTGGACGGTGGTGCAACCAATGGATTACGCCGAGCCCGTCCACATGAACTGACAAGATTGGTTCCTGTCACGGTGGAGCTGGCATCGGGGTCCACGACCTTGTTCCGTGTCAAGGAGCATAACACGTTGCTGACCAAGGACAACGTGGAAGTGATAGTTCCATTGCACCGACTCGTGAAGTTGGGCTATAGGCTGCAGTGGACTTCAGCGGGCGTCAAGATCACCCATCCTCAAAGCGGAAGGATTGAGTGCGCATTGCGAGGTGGTTGCCCTGTGCTCTCCGAGAAGCAGGCCCTTGCGTTGCTGGACATCATGGAGAAAGAGGACAAGGGGGAATTGATGCTGGACGAGGAGATTCGTAATTGGTGGTCATCAAGATTTCCGGACGTGCCTCAGGAGGTGTGGAACCACATGCGGGGTCAGGACCACTACAATCCGGAGGAGTGTCCGTGGAATCGGCATCAACGACGACGGCATGCTCGCGCACCAGGAGTCATCATTCACCTGTATTCCGGAAAGGATACCAAGACCTGGACAGCAGAAGATTGGAATGGCTATGAGATCCTCAACGTGGACATCGCCTTGGGCACCCAGTATGACATGCATGCAGTGGGAACCTGGGGATACTTATGCCATCTGGCCAGATCTGGACATGTGGTGGCGGTGGTAGGAGGGCCTCCGTGTAGGAGTGTCTCTCGACTACGGCATCGAGAACCTGGTCCGCGGCCGTTGAGAGGAAGAGATGAAAGGCGCTTTGGTTTGGATGGCTTGTCGGCGGTGGAGCAGGACTTGGCCTATGGGGACCTGGCGTTGGTCTTGAAACAGTTTGGACTATGGTTGATGGCGGAGGAGGCCAGGGTGTGCTCGGGAGAAGGTCCAGGGCATCGGTCAATTTCTCCTGCCTATCTGATGGAGTCTCCGAGGGATCCGGTGACCTACATGAAGGAAGAAGCTCTCCAGGAGGACATGCCTAGCTTCTGGAACTTCAGAGAGGTTCGGGACATGATGGAGGTCATGAATGCAAAACTGATCACCCTGGACCAAGGCCCCGTTGGTCATGTCAAGAGGAAACCTACGAGCCTGATGGTGGTCAACATGCCGGACATGGATGAGTTGGATGGCATGACAGGGGATGGGACTGGACAGCAAGCTGCAACTACATTGCGAGGGAGGCTATGTCAATCACGAGAATGGTCGGCATGGGCACCGGGGCTTGTAGCTGCGATCAAGTTGAGTTTGAAGAGATATCTGGGCAGGCTGCATAGCTCCTCCAATCATGGAAGTGATGGACGACCTGCACTTCAACGCATGGACATGGAGGCCTGGAAGGACCATGTGAGGAACCAACATCAGCCCTACAGAAGGGACTGCCGGAGATGTATGGAAATGATGGGCATGGATGCACCCCATCGGAGAACTCGGGGGGATAGAGCGGCCTATTGCCTGTCCTATGACATCGTGGGTCCTATGCCAGAGGGTGAGGATGTGGGACTGGGAACCAGAGCCAAGTATCTTCTGGTTGCAACCGTGGCCATTCCGAGGCTGCCTAGAGAAGACCCTGATGATGGAGAAGCAAGGGAGCTGGATGGAGAAGATGGCGATCCACTGCCTATAGGGGAGGATGAGGATGAGCGTCCGGTTCCCGATGATGAGCAGGTGCAGAGGTTGAATAAAGCCTGGGAGGACTACATCAAAAGCCTGGGAGAGCCGGTGGGTGTGCAGAACATCACGTTGGTGGAGCCATTGGAAAGCAGGTCACAGATGGATGTCACCAAGGTTGCCACTCGGATTTTCTGTCGGTTCAAGGCGATGGGAGTCAACATGCTCCGGGTACACACGGATAGAGAGTGTGCCTTTCTGTCGAGATCCTTTCAAGCCTTTTGCCGACGGTTTGGACTATATCAAACCATGATGGGCGGAGATGAAGGACCGTCCAACGGCCGGATTGAGTGTGAGGTCAACCAAGTGAAACGACGTCTTCGCCTCCTTATCAAAGAGAGTGGTCTGGAGCAGAAATGGTGGCTGGGGATTGCTCGCTACGTGGGAGAAGAGAGACTTCGACGTCAATGCTCTGGTCTTGGTGTTCCATCCACAGCACTTTTGCCGATTGGGGGGAGAGTCACAGTGAAAACCAAAAGGTGGCACAGAGCAGGATTCGGACCTTTAACGGCGCCTTTTCGAACTATGACCATCATGGGTCCATCTCCTTTCATGTCACAGGGCTATGTCTTGATGGAGGGTGAGCAGATCCAACATGCTAGGGTGGTGGTTCAACAAGATCCAGGCGCAGAACGAGCAGTTCTAGAACTGCAAATGGTTCCCGATCCTGAAAGGCCACAGCACAGATTGACAGGGAAGCAACCAATGGAACCAATGCTTCCCCAACTTCCGCCTCCGAGGTCTTCGCCTGATCCTGGACTTCATCGACTACATGCTACTTCCGGGGGAGAACCAGTCCAGGTCTGGACTGGGGGGGAGTCCCTCTATGCTGTATGCAAGGAGTGTGGTCTACAATGTGCGGATGGGGGCTCAATGAAGAAGATGGAAGGACGGGAATGCTGTGACTTCTGCGAAACCCCGTTGGAGCGGCTTGAGGAGAAGGCTGTGAATGGCACTATGGAGTGTGGAGTTGAGGAAGCCCATAACCTGACACGGTGGATGCATGAAGAACATTGGGGCTGGAAACAGCTATGGAGTGACCTTTTGAAGGATGTGGTGGTGGGTGAAGAGGATGGACTATTACGAGGAGCGCTGATGGACTACCTTGAAAAGAATGTCCTGGCCCTGGAGAATGAACTGACAGAGATCAGGGATTTTGACCTGGGTTATCAAATGGCCAAGATGGCTGAAGGGGTGGTTGGGGAATGCCCTGATGGTGAGCAGCAGTCTCCTTTGAGTGTCCATGCCGTATTACAGACCTACACTGTCCCGTTGGCGCAGGTGAAGAAGGAGCTGAAGGATTGGATTCCATCACTGGAATATGAGGTGAACTCCTTGGAACGCACCACGAAGGCTGTTCGGCCAGTGTCAGTCCGAGATCTATGTCATGAGCCGGGCTACGAGGAAATGCTGGTTGTGCCGTCGAAACTGGTGCCGACGGTCAAAGCACCGGATGGAAAGAAGAGATCAAGAATAGTCCTATGCGGCAACTTGGTGGAGGATACTGCACGACGAACAGGACACTCTCAAGCTGTGAAAGAGGATAAACAAGTGAATCCCTCCGCAGGAAGATCATTTGAGTTGTATGCTAGCGGCATCGATGGAGGATCGCTGAGGTGTGCATTGAGAAAAGCAGCCTATGAACAGTGGTCGATAGGCATCACTGACGTCTCCTCGGCCTTCTTGTTAGCACCTCGGAAGTCACCTCGGCTCATGGTCACTAAGCCCCCGGCGATTTTGATTGAAGCTGGACTGATCTCTGCGGACACCCGTTGGGTGGTGGAAGCGGCGGTCTATGGTCTGGACAGCTCACCCTCGGACTGGCAGGCGTACAGAGATGATGTTCTCCGCAGTCTACGGTGGTGGGAGTCAGGTGTGCACTACTGGATCAATGCGACGCCAGAGCCGAATGTGTGGAGATTGATGACTGCGAATGGGGCAGAAGGGGACTACGTGAACGTCATGGAGGAGGGTGAAACATCGGGGTTTGCTCTATCCTACGTGGACGATTTCATTGTCATGGGCCCACAATCAGTCGCACAGACCGTTCTGACGAAGTTGGCGTCGACCTGGAGATGCTCTACACCGACGTGGGTGGTCTCGTTGGAGTGGAGGAAGTTTTGTGGAGTGGAGATGAAGTGGAATGGAGCAAACCTTATGATTGGCCAGCCGGACTATGCTCGAGAACTTGTGACCCGGCATCCTGACCTTCCACTGAGGTACTCACCGCTTCCCAAGATGATTGAGCTCGAGCCAGAGGAAGTCATAGACCCCACGGATGTGAAGCAATGTCAAACTCTGGTGGGGGAACTCCTGTGGCTGTCGACTAGGACAAGACCTGATCTCAGCTTCGCTGTTGCTTATTTGGGTGCGAGGGTCACCAAATCCCCTAAGGGTGTGCTGGAGCTGGCGAGCCATGTTGTTGGATACTTGGCTGCAACCCCAGATCTGGTGCTGGAATATGGACCTTGTTCGCCTGAGCTGGACCGACATGGCCGTAAGCAGTCGCTGGCTCGCCTGGAAGTGCTGACCGATTCCTCGTTCGCTCCTGCTGGAGGTCGTGGTCATCAAGGGATCATGGCTATGTGGGGTGGATGCTTGGTAGCTTGGGAATCGAAGTCTCAGGCTTTTGCCACTCTGAGCACTACAGAGAGTGAGCTTTTGGGCTACATCGACGGGTTCACCTTGGGCGAGAGTGTGGGCGCGGTGGTGAATGTGCTGCACCAGAACATCCTTGAAAAGGAGGGAGCGTTTACGCTCAAGGGAGACAACATGTCCGGCCTGCAGCTGCTTCAGGCTCCGTCGGGTCCTTGGAGGACTCGTCATTTGAGGTTGAGAAGTCACGTACTTCGGGAACGACTTCAGCACCATCTCTGGGATGTAGAGCACGTCCCAGGGACGGAGCTATGTGCAGACCTGCTAACGAAATCCATCACTCAGTCACAGTCTTGGCTGGCGTTCAGGAATGCTGTTGGCCTCCGTGATGCAGCCTCGTTGGGTCAATCACAACAACAGGGTGATGGGGACGGTGCTGCTGTGAAGAAGGTGGCATACGCTGCAATGGCTTCGCTGGGATTGCTTGCTGCCATGCCTTACGTTGGAATCCTTCCACGAATCGCGTGTGTGACTGCATTGGGAGCAATTGCCACTTTCGTAGCTAGCAGTGTGTACCAGACGGCAGGATGCCAGTCAACCAAGAGGCCTAACGCAACCCAGAAAAGAACCGATTCAAGATGGTCAAGGGAAAATGAACCTGACCCAAGTAGGTGGACAGAGAAGTCAAGATGGTCAAGGGAAAATGAACCTGGCCCAACATCGACCGACGATCGTTCGCTCGACACTTGCCATCTTGGCACCCTGTCGGACACATCGCACGCGCAGCCATGGATTCCTCGGTTGTGCGCTATTCGTGCTCTGGGGCCGCATCTGGGACTGGGCACGGACACTCCGTGGCGGCTGGAGCGATTTGCAACTCCTCCCACTGGTAATGACCGGTGGGAGTGCCTTGGCAGTGGAGACGGAGCAGGCGAATGGTGGGTTCGCGTGCTGAAGAAAAGCAGGGTGAGAGCCTTCCACCCCCTACATAGGGGGACGCCCTTCATGATTGAGAGAATGGCTTCGACGAGGGTGACAGTGGCTTTCCATCGAAGCAGCACTCGAGAAGCCTGGAAGAGGAAGGAGATCATGGATGACTGGATCAATTCCCGCAACTCAGATTTGGCGGATGTCTATGAATGGAGGGGCTACAGTTTTTTCTATGTGAGATTCCCTCCGAGAGAGACTGAAGGACATGTGGGCTCGGCATCTTCGAACCCACTTCCACCTCCTGGCTCGGTGACTCAAGGTCCGCATGGGTATGGAGAAGATCAGCCGTCGAGGTCTCGAGCAGTAGAAAGGGGAAGGGCTGCGCTGGCAGAGGCGGGGTGTCGCTCCTATGCTGCTGTGGAGGCATCGGCTGAGGGCGCTTTGGGGCATGCGAGTGAGGAGAGCCAGGGCTATCGAGTCCGACTGCAGGGCTACGAGAAAAGGGGTGAGACCGGCACCATCGAGGGCAGCTGGACCCGGGCGCTGGCTGGTGAGGGATTGATCGAAGAGGATCCATCCCAGATGCCTGTTTGGTTAGGCATTGAGACTGCCGTGACTGGAGGGAATCGGGAGCCAGAAGACACAGATAGCTCCCATTCTCGCGGCAGCTTTGAAAAGGTATGATGTTGAAAACATCAGGGGGAGTGAGAAATCCTGAGCACCGCTCCACCCTTTTCTTTTGAGGATGACACGTCAGTCATGAGCACTGAAACCAACCCAACCTGAACTTTGGCTCAAGAAATAAGTGCGGCAGCTTTTTTAGCTTTTGGTGTCGCACGCTCAGTTTCAAAAACAACACGCTCCATGAGTTAGTTGGAGTCGAACTTGAGATGTGAAGAAGCAGAAACTCGGATAAATTCCTTGAGGAAGAGGACCTGTTCCTATTCACAGTTCCAGATTCAGCATCGCTCATCATCCCCAGCTTCACCAATTCAAAAACATGAGTCGCCCGGCTTTTTTGTGCAGGAAAATCAGATCACCGAGTCCTTACAGCAAACGGCGTCTTGGCAGACAAGCGATGCTGGCGGAGTATTAAATATGGGTGGATGCATTTCCAGCATCACCAGCCTTTGAACTAGCGTAGACTTTTGACATGTGATTCATGATGCCCCAATACGAAAAAGTTTTCAAGAGGATCTTCCTCAAAAGCAGCAAACCAAAACGGCCAAAAGCGGCCCAGACCGAGGCAGAAGGGCCGTCATGGTTGCACATCTTTCCAACGCCACATCAGGTATCGAGAAGGGCAAAGCCTGCCGGTTGAGTGTGAACCAAACTCTTGTGTCAAATGGAAGGCTAGGGTCAGGTGAAAAGCGGGACAACATGTGGTTCATTCGGAAAACGAAGAACAAACGTGGTGAGTTATTGTGTTTGGCGACCTTCCCGGAAGACACCTGCTTTGCTTGCCAAGGAACTGTTGTTTTTCTTTAATGGACTTTTCGGGTAACGTGACTACGCAGGCTTCGCAGGTGTAAGGATCATTTTTTCAGCATCTCCGTGCTGGCACCGGCACCTGCAGCTGCCTCCAGGTTCGACAGGTCTCCGAAACCGCCAGCATCCTAGGCGCCTTAACGTTGGCGAACGCTTTGGGGGACTGCAGTTGTTGCGGGGTGAAGAAGGACCAAATCCTAGTCTCCTCACGACTCACATTTGTATGCCAAACATCCCTGATTCATGCATTGAAGTGGGACTGGTGGGGACTGCAGTTTTGTTCGAAGAACGTGGACATCGATGTCCATTGCTGGGTCGGTGAATCGTTTGTTGTGATGATGAAAATGGGTGCGAAAAGCAAAGGTTACCATGAAACGGGCAGCCACGAGCTACGTACGAGATGCTACGAGTTCCCCAACCCCTTGTAAGGGGACGTGGAATCTTCATGGAATCCAAGTGGAACTTTGATACTCTCTGAACCAAATCCGAATTCCTTGGACCTACTGATGTTTCAAGTAACCGTTTGTTTTTACTGCTTCACCTTCCTGGATTCCGATCATTTGCCTTTTGACATCCTTTGACTCCTTCATCTCGCTGGGAAGTTTATTCACATCCAATGTTTCTTTTGGGATAATTGGCTTTCACCAGCTTAAGTGGATGTTTGGTCGGGGTATTGATTTCTTGTCATGGATGGTTCTTTCAGAATCCCCCTGATGTTGGCTTTCTTCACCAGCCTTCCCCTCGCCTCCTGCGCGTCCCGAGCACCAGGCACCTACCTGCAAGGCGTTGGGGCCTTGGCACTGACTTGTTCTCAAGGTTGCACTCCAAAATGCTTCAACATGGAAGTGGATCATCAATCCCCCTCTTTGTAGAGCTAAAGTCATCTTTCAAAAGACCATGCCATACACTTCCAGGTCATGCGGGCGGTGTTCGGAGTGTTTCAGGATTTTGCCATTTGACTTCAGGTTCCATGGAAGTGAAAACGCCTGGTGTTTGGTAGAGGAAAATGCATTTTGCAGCCATGCATATCATGCCACTTCCATGTCTTCCGAGAGTCAGCTGGGTCCCAGCGCCTTTGCGCGAAGCTGGTCGGGGGGGTCCAGGCTGACACTAATCCATCAAACAAAAATAATATTGGGATTTATTGGAGATCTCTTTTTCTGCAGAGGATTTCTCTTTAACTCACCAGGCCACTGGAATGGTCAAATCAGGTGCTGTGGAGACGTGCAGTGGCCTGAAAACCTTCCGTGTCCTGCAGCCGAGATTTCCGTGACTTGTGTGGCGTGTTGGTGGGCGCCATGGCCTCCACAGAACCCTTGCTTCCATCGGAGGAGGGGAGCTGGGAGGTCCGGTCTGGGTCGCCCCGAGACAGGGTTTGCGCTTGCAGTGTGCGAAGCAGTGGAGAAAAAAGGCCTCCGTTTATGACATGAGTCTGGGATCCAATTCAAACCCTTTCAAGTCTGATTGGCTTCAGCTGCGCTGTATCACAACTGCCTAAAGAGGTGCTCGGCTGCAGCCCGAGCATGTCTCTCAAAGAATTTGAATACAATTGTGTTCTGGGATTAGGGACCCAGATGCAAACATAAGAATGGCAGCCATTTCCGCTTTCGGAGTTTCGAGCTTGCGGCTTAGCAAGGGGTACACACATGATCACACATGTGATTACTAGCAATCCACTGGGCGGTTGTTGCACAAGATTGGCCAGGCGTTAATCAAGCTGAGAACCAAAGGTCACTGGGTCATTTTAGTTATCTTACATATAATATATATATATATATCCTTCTACCTTTGGGTGCTTTGGATTTTTGTGCATTCCCAACCCCATGTCTCCAATCTGACCGGTTGCTTCCATTCAGTCGCCAGCGGCAAAAAGCCATCGCCAGCCGTCGCCAGGACACCAGCTGCGGAGGCAAGGTCAAAAAGGCTTGCAACTCGCTCCTGAAGTTCCTGGCCATCGTCCCTGGGACCCCAAAAAGACGGTGGACCAATTCCACCACCGATCGCGCCCCAAAACGCCGGCGGGCGCTCGACTGTGTGGTCGACGAAAAATGGGGCTTCCCAATGCCTCCAACAGGTGTGGAGCCGTAGAGGATGGCCGAACTGAAGCCACTGAGTTCGCATGGACCGAATCCCAAACAGCGAGAAATGGAGTGTTAATGGGTTTCATTCTGGGAAGGACATGGAACCTAGACACGAAAGTGGTACGGCATACATGTATACCAGATCTAGTACCATTTCGACATTTGATCCCTGAAACCACCTACCCTGCCTCGCAGGCATTCATCTCTGCCATGATGTGGAAAAAAGCGGGTCGAATGAATGGATTTGAGGTCTTCGTGGTGCTTTTTGCGTTGACCTGGCTGCTGCAATTTGCCTGCTACAAGTGGGCGACCTTAGGCGCACCGACCCAAACGGGACCGAAAACAGCGGACCTTAGGCCACGCAGTTCTCCAGTGGTCCAGGGAAGTCCGTCTGAAGGATCAGGCATACAGTGGCACTTTTGGGGGCAAGTGGTTGTTGTGTGAGGATTGGTTTAATCACAATCAGGACGGCTGTTTGATGCAAGTGCGGTGTTTCCCCATGGCGTTCCAGCTTTCCAAAAGCCTCACTTCGCTTTATGATGTACAAGACATGTTCTTTCGGGCCAGTGAACCTGTGACCGAAAACGAAGAGATGTAGGCAGCCCGTAGTTTGAGCTAATTTTGCTTAATGGGATTTTGTATTTTCTCTATATTGACTCTATATGGGTGAATGCCCTTCTGGAGAATATGTTTGAGTTGATTTTTCCTCGTTCGCAACTGCCAGGTCGTCTAAGTCAGAGTGACGTCGAATCTCTTCGAATCCGTCACCGCTGAGGATGTTCACCTTCGAAACTGACGGACTACTCCTATCCCGGCGGAGGCGGAGCGTTTCTCTCCCACGGTGCGGAGCGGAACACAGGTGGACCACTGGTCGCAAGCCGTTCGATCTGGGGAGGCACACTTCCCGGAATAGCCTGGTCATCGAGAAAAACCATGGTTTTACTATAAGGAGACTAAGGTGTTCACTCTAAAATCAGATCAACCATTTACAAAATGGTCGAACGGACTTCCAGGGACTTTGTAATTTAGCGATCTGAGCCAACTGTGCAAAAGAGTTGCTTCACTTGGCTCGTTTTAGAGATGATGTTGTTTCCAGAAATTCTGCACAGTTTGGAAGGTCCAGGTGAACCTTCTGCTCTGCTTGGGACATCTTGGGGCCTCCAGCAGCGATCCTGGAAGACTCCACCTCTCACGTGATTTCACCTCTTCTGGTGTCCAGCTTGGCCGCAAGAAACGCCGCTCCCACCACCCTTTCCACCTCACCAAAGTGGCTTTGCGGCTCTCGCACAAAGGAACCCCATTCATGCCACGCCCATTTGGTCACTTTCTTGGTTCATCCATGCAACTTCCGCCGGTGGTGGGTTTTGCTGCCCCTGCAGATCGTCCGTCACCGGACCCGCGCGGGAAAAGTCACCCAATTCCACCACTCCTCCGCGTCGCCATGTGTCACATCGCCCATCGCTCGGCAGCAGGAAAGAATGCCAGCTTCAATTTGCTTCCTGCGATCCACCTCTTGGCCGAGCGGTCGCCCAATTGGTACGGGAGCGCCTTTGATGTGATTCCCTCCAACGAGGCGCGGGATGTTCATGCGCACCGTGTGTGGTACAGATGCAGCGCGCCAACAGGTGTTGGCGCGTGTGTTTGTTCGATGGAGAGGATGTTTGGGCTGTGAGGGAGGTGGAAAGAGGATCTCCAAAGGTTAAAGAAGATATCAGGATGTTAAGGTATATACAGTATACAGTATATGCACTTTCTTGCAAAACATATACACAATGTGCTTTGCTCAATAAGGGAAAAATGGTTTGATGGTTGGGTTGTTACAATTCCCATTGGACATGGGGCGCGACCCATTTCATGGCACTTGGCGTTATGGTGAGATCCATTCTCAGCGCGCGTGGTTCAGCCGGTGGTGGCAAGGCGTCCACGGTGGCAGCAGCGCCCGTGGGCACGTGGTGGCAAACTTGGGGGCCAATCTTTCCGATCTATACCTATGAGGCTGTGGGCGTAAGTTGAAGGGCGGAATATGGTGGAATGGCGGGAGAGACGGTTGAGTGGATGATGTTTTTTAATGTGTTTGTTGTGTTTCGATCAGATACACAAAAAGGGGACTCAATTGGGGAAGAAGGGGAGGATTACAAGAGAAAAATGGTCTTCCGAAGGCTTATGATCCATGTACGGCCATTTCCATGATTGTTTGAAGAGGAGTATGAAAGACATTTCGGATGTGCCCCCAACTCCTTTGATTTCAAAAGTTCTCTATTTGTGAACTTGCATGTACGAGTAGTTTGCTGAACTGGTCGCCCCATTTGCCAGGGGGTTGGTGATGGTTGGAGTTTGGCCTGGAAGACACATGATCTGGGCATGGAAGGTGGTGGGACGATGGATCTTAGGTGATCTCCTTGAAAGAACTTCTCTATAACTCTCTGCCAGCTGCTTAGAAGTGAGGGGGTATCCAATACTCCCCTTTAAACAGGGAACCGTTCGGGCGACCAAGGAAGTTCCCGTTCAGCACTTGCTACGTTCGGTCATCTCGTTTTGTCTCGCACCACTTGCTACGTCCTGGGTGGTGATTGGATGGAAATGGACCATGAAAACACATGGTCCATGGAGGGTGACCGACCGAGACCGGTGGTACTCCTGAAGTGGAACATCACCTGGTTTCATATTCGGTCATCGGAAATCGGGGCCATGCCATCCACTTCTATGATTATTTCATATCCCTTGAAATACTGGCAGACTGGGGCTACCTTCTCCGACTTAATATGTCTTTTGCTGACTGAGTCATGTGTAGTTTTGCTCATTTTGGGTTCGACTACAAGACCTAGGACCTACAGAATGGCAATAGAACAATAGGGCGTATTGGATTCTAGTATCATGTCCCCCAATAATTTGTGAATATCCTAGGCGCTCCATGTATGGAGCATTTACCTACATTGACTCTCTGAAACCACCTTCACAATGGAGGACTTTGAATCCCTCAGTCATGCAAAAGTCGCGAAGCGTGAGCAGGACGTGGCCAACTCGCAGACTACCGTGGTCATGAGACGAGACTCGGCTGCCGTGAGGCACCGCTTAAATCCCCAACCCCCTAGCCTTCCGAGATTGTAAAAGAGTTCGGTTGACCCGGAGTTGTAGTGTAAAGAAAGTCCTTAGTAAACAATGGCTCTTCGATGTTGTTCTGGCTCTTCAATCAATGGTGGGCAACTGGAATCCTTGGGCCAAAGTTGTGTTCTTGTCTTAAACGTGTTTTTCCCGACAACTCCCAGAGAGCCCTGGCACAGCCATCCAACAGATTGGTTTCTGTGAAAAGATGTGCATCTTTCAGCGCGGCCGCGATGCGTGTTGGAGATGAGTGTTGGACGTGGCCTATAGATGCAAAGAAACAACAGAATGCGAATGAGAGAATTCGCGTCGCTAGGCAGTCAGATGGGATAGAAGGAGATGTGAAGAAAGAATCTCGGGATTTTTGCAATCTTTTCCTTTGGCCTGCTTGGCTGCAGCACGAAGCGCCAGATTTGATCAATCTGTTCCACCCCAAAGCCACAGTATTTGGCTTAGATATGCTTAGATAAGGGCACCCTCTTGAACAATCAGGGAAGCCGAGCAGAGTAAGAAATGAAGAAAACGCATTGTACGGCCGCCTATGGCCTAGGAAAATCCCGTGAGAAGAACCCCAGCATGAGAAGAACCCCCCTATAGGGGCCCTAGGGCCCTCAAACCGCTTGTCCAATCAGCGGACCGGACCGCAGAGTTAACGTTGAAGAACAGCCCAAGCAGTGCGCAAAATTGGAACTTGGAAATGAATGGAAGGGCTAAAGACCTCTCAGAAGAACTATGATAGGATATACCTCGGGCAGGACCTTTGATATAGGTCTTTTGGGTCCGCTTTGCGAACGGTTAGAGCTTTTCTTGGTGTTCGATGACTTTTGGAACCGAACCCTTGGGCCTTTTTCGGGGGGCGGTCTGACAGTTCATCGGAGACACCGGGCACTTCAGGAAAGCTCTTGAGACTGGGGCAATCCCATGTGATCCAGCGGTGTGATGGTGAGGGCCCAGTGATCTACTTTACAGATGCTTGGTGTGCTGAATCTTGATGCCCAGCATGTCTATTTTTAGCTTCATGTTGTGCGTGTGTCAGGAGTATATCATGTTTCGGCAAGTTTGGTGTTGTTATGTGCTTTTGCTGCTTTCCAAATCGATGGGAACGGTTTCGTACGCTTGTGGGGATCTGTCGCTGAACTCATCGCTTGCCATGGGCTTACATGGGCCCCACGCGGGGGCCACCGAGACCCCAGCTGTAGCAGCTAGATGTTTCACTAATTTTCACGTGTATATATACATAACCCCTTACAGTATACTCGGAGCAACGAGGAGCGACGTGTTTTCTTGTTCAAGGATCTCATTGTAAAACCAGTGTTTTTGCTTCTATTTGTATATTGAATTATAGTCTCGACGTTTCAGCGGTCACGGACACCGAGGAAGGAATGAACTTCTTCTCCAATCGTGTGCGAAAGATCCTTGGCCGAGCGGCCGTCCGGAGCGAACGGGTCAAAGCGACCATGTTCCGCTTCCATGTGTGAAAGTAAGAGGTGGGTAGCTGCAGGTGTCACAGCTGGTGTGAGCTTGCCCCACACTGGCAGACGCCATTTTCCTGTTGTGATGATCGTGATCGCTGAACCTCTAGACCTTTTGATAGATTGCAATGGTGCTCATCAGCCACCTGACAATGTGATTGTCCAATCTGATCACTGACTTCTACATAAGTGACATGAGGGCTTGAATCACGGTGGTGCAAACAGTTCCCAGACACTCCATGGACTGACCTCCATTGAAATTGAGATGGTTTCAGGGGTCAGTTGAGGTTTATTCCGGTCCTATGGAGCGAATTCACTTGGTTTTTCATCACTGATTGACTGGTCTTGATGATCCATGATTGACTGACTTTGTCAAACGCTTTCGATGGATTAGAAGAAGTGAAGCATGCGAAAAACGAGACATCTGGCGAATACATCATAGGACGATGCAATAGCCCCTGATGTGCGAATACTTCGCTATAGTGCGATCGGGTGTTCTCTCCTTCACAGATGGAGACATAAAGCATAAAGCATATAGCTCTGATTTACTTTTGAATTCCTCCTATGACTGTCCTGAAGAACTCTATTCCCACAAATTGTTGTATGTTGTGTGGGGATTGCCCGAAAATGCTTTGGGATTTAAGATGATTTGAGCCAAGAGTTATGATTTGACGTTTGTTCCTTCGATTTGTTCGTTCGCATCCCATTTTCCTCGTCTCCTCGTCCAGGTTGTTCCACATGAATCAAGCGATGAGCTGCTTGGTACGACGTGGGCAGTCAGCTTTTGTAATATAGGTGTATAATGGTGTATACATAACTAGTTTGATATTAAGTACAATATCAGACTAGTTATTTTTTGCCAAAGCAGGTGAGGAGGAGACTTGCACTTGTTCAGAGGGGAAGTGTTGCCAGGGCTCCCTGTATAGAAACACAAGTGCCGGCAATCAATCCCCTTGGATGAGGCAACAGTCCATGCAAGCACTCCTTCACAATACAATTGATATTTGTCCAGCAAGTTTTTGCAAGACATGGCACCTGTGTATATATATATATATACATATACTGTACCACCGGGGTCGATCTAGGCGCGTAATGGTGTGTGTTTATGGATCGATCGATCTATCTATCTATCTATCTACCTTCTTATCTGCCTATATCTACCTATCTACCTATATCTACCTATCTACCTCTATCTACCTATCTATCTATCTGTCTATCTATCTATCTATCTAGTTAGCTAGCTAGCTAGCTAGTCCATACATGGATTTGCATGAACAAAATTTACCGAGGTGATGACGTTCTATGCTTCTTGGAAGCCCGACCATGTCAAATGATGTTCATTCAACAATTACTGGAGAGCCGGGTTCCTATCTGGGCTGACCTTCAAGCTGTGCTGGCTCGTTGCACATTCGGAACAGGAGTCCACTTGTTTTACCCACCGGAAGGTTGGGCCTATCCAGGTTCGTGAACCACAAAGCAGTGAAGGTGGTACTGCATTTGTTTTTGGTGTAATCTGTCATGGCAAGGGGATCAACAAGAATCAGGCACAAGTGCAGCACCTTTGGTTACATGGTTCCGCACACAGCAACAGAAGCTTCTTCTGGACATTAAACACTACATTTGTTCCACCGACCTTCACGCTTCAGTTGACCCAGTTGAGCCCGGGAAGTACTCCTGGAAGACCTGGCTAAGCACTCTAACCTAATCGCTATGGCCTCCGACCTGATAGGGATGGCCTCCACCTTAATAGCGGTGGCCTTTGTTGGATTGGCAAGGCTACAAGATCTTCCTGAACGATGAACTGGTCGCGGTCGCAGAGGAGATCACCGGTGTTATGTGAGGGCCCGGGCGATGGTAGGGCGACGGACTGAGGACACCAATGGAAAAGAGCATCAACGATTCTAATTCTATGGATGGATCAGGATCATCAATTTGGCTTGGCATGTTCATGCATTTTCTTCGAACGGATGTTCTCCGTTCGAACTGCTTCCACCCCTGGCATTCGCTGCATACCCTTTCACCGGTGGCGCAAGGAGACCCAGCAGGGCTTCCAGTCGATCACCTTCCGCGGCGTGGAGAGCCGGAAAGAGTGCCTTGGCCTTTTCGTCTGTGTTTTTGTTGTTTTGAAAGAAAAGAAGGTGTTAAAAACCCAACACCTGGGTTCATCAACCGGTGCATTTCGCTCTCCGTATGAACCTTGTGCGTGGTTTGAGACCCTTGTGTTTGACTTGCGTCGACGCTCTGCCTCTCCGAGGTTGGCCTCTTCGGTCTTGCAGGAACGTCACTTCCATGGGAAGTTCGTGTCTTGCAACCAACCCGCCGGTCGCACGTCGAACGCGGACCGCGAGGGACGTCGGACGTCCGGCGACTGAACATGAACGACGACCCACTGCCCAGTGGTGGATGGGACTTCTTGCCTCGCAGGTGGGGTAGAAGGAGTCAAAACGGAAGTTGCAGTTTGAGAACGTTCTGGCAAGAAGAAATTAAAAAGAGAAAATAAATTATTAGAGAAATGTTTGTGTTTTCATGTCTTCATTTGTTTCTTTTCGTTCTTCCCTTTGGCGGGAAAAGAACCCCTCTTGGAGAGTGTCGAAACCGGTGGTTTCGGAGCGAATGATTCTGGTTGGGATGGAAGTATGAGGGGGACGCATTGGTGGTTGTTCTGGGAGTTTGGGGCTGGGAGGAAAAATCAGATGGGTGGTTTCAGAGATGTTGATGTTCAATCTTTACCTCGGGATGAACCCACTGACTCACCCAGTTTTAGCTTAACTATTCACTCAAAACCTATTATAGTCCAATTCTCCGCCACTACATGCCACTACCACAAAAAGAAAAAAAAGCATGGAAACAGGGTTTAACAAAAAGCGGGTTATAACGATGAGCCGGAGTTTAGACGTCCAATATGGATATATTTTTGGAGTTTGGTTCACCATCCACCAGACGTCCAAGCCGTGGAGATCGAGATGCGCGTGGGGGAGGGCTTTCAGATGAAGAAGACGCGGTCACCGTTCGGACGACACGTAGAAGAGCATTCTGCAGGCGATGAGAGCTGTTCTTTTGCTTGTGTGTTTTTTCGAACTTCGAACAACTTGTTGCACTGGATTTTAAGACATGATAGTGTATGGCAAGTGCTGATGTGTTTGATAGTATATGATAGTATAATGTTCTCCCTATCCTTTTCCCTTGTTGCGGAAGAAGCCGAAGACGGCATGTTGCTGTGCACATGTCGTGCCAATGTGAGGACCTTTGGCTCGTTCAGAATCACAAGAAGGACCGACCGACCATGTTGGCACGACCGGCTCGTCGCGTTCGCTTTCTTCGCACAGTGGCGACCCCACACGTGGTCCACAACCTGACCAAATGTCCACCAAGCAATATTTTCTTGGTCGGCACCCGGCACCCGGCACCAGCACCAGCAACCTGTCTCCACCGCGTGCACAGCCAGCTCACAGCACCAGCACCGGCACCCGGTACCCAGTACCCAGGACCAGCACCGGCGCCAGCAACCTGTCTCGACCACGTGCACAGCCAGCTCACAGCACCAGCACCGGCACCCAGCACCAGGAACCTGTCTCGAAAGCGCGCACGGCAACTCATTGTTATTTGAGTGAGAACCCCATAGCTTCGCTATTTGGGGAAAAATCCGAATCATAAAAGAATGTCCGTCCTAATACACAAACTAGCAACTGAACAACTTTCAAGAAGAGAGAGGTTCCCTGATTCAACATAACAAGATGTTGCTAATTATATTGTAATTTAAGTGAACACTTTATAAAGTAAAGGTGCTAACTTTCATGCCTAGTGCAACGACATCGGACAGACTCTTCGTGGCTTGATAGACAAAGTGCGCGAGTACTAGCGTGCTTGTCAACCCGCTAGCATTGAAATGCATATGATGTCCCCCCTGTAACCCTGCTGAAGTCAGAAGACACCACAAATACCACACAAAATCGGGACGCCATTGCTTTCAACAACAAAAGCGTACAGCCACGACCGGGCGTGACCGAATATTATGGTGTTCCTCAAGACCCCTAGCAACAATATATTTTTATAGGACGTCTAGTAGAGTCTAGTAGGCAATGGTTTTTGCGACCGTGCCTTTTTGCATCCCTCGGGAGTTCAAATTCCTGCGCCACCCCTTCCCGGTCCTTCTCGTCCTGTCGAACGGAGCGGATTTGCTTGGACCCTGTGGACGGCCGTCGTCACGGTGTCGTCGACGCGGTTGTCACAACACGTACGCGCGGAGTCTGAGGACTTGATCCTGCCAGACTATGTCGCCAGTGCCACCACGCTCTTGTACGCCTTTTTCACCTTACATCAAGACCGGCGGAAGGTGATGTCGCACGAACATGAGGACCTGGGTGTGTTGATGTGTGTTGGCCTGTGGCCTTGTGGAAAGCGGCCGGTGGCTGCTCGAATCTGATGAAACGATGAAACGAATCCTTTGATGTTGTTTGAATAATCTAGGCAAGTGCAAGCTGGACATGGAGATGTGTTTTTCATTCGAAGCACAAATGCAAAGATCCCTAGATCTCCGGTTTTTCGGCCACCTCCAAAGGATCAGAACAGCCTGTCGTAGTTGTTCCCAACAATTCCAAAGGGGTGTGGTTTTCAGTCCCATCCAATGAGTGGATAATGGGCACTCCTATTCTCCAATAGCCACCCCTCTGGAACTCTGACGGTGTGACCATAGTGTCAACAAGTCCTTTGTTTGGGGACAGCATGCAATGTCATTCTCCAAACCCGTTCTGTCAATGAACGACCTTCCATCCAGTTCGATGGATGTCTTAGCTGCCTTTGCTGGGGCCTTGCACAAGAAAGCAACGCAACACGGCAGCGCTGCAGCACGACTCATGTGTGTGTGGGTGGTTGTGTGTTCAATCCCCATTCTCGCAGGAGCACCACGACAATCCCCACTTCTTGGCCGCGGCGAAGCGACTCAACGCCTCGGACGCGGAGTTCCAAGCGGCGACTTGGGCCGAGACGGTCGGCGGGAGATGTGGAGATGTGGACGACGGAAAGACCGCAAGCGAAGCAACCCCATCCTCCGATGTGAGAACAAAGTGACCCCCAAATAGATATAGAGTGTGGATTTGCTTTTCTATTTGGGGGTCCATGAATGTCCATGATATATATAATACACTATATCAATCTGCCAGTTTGATGGAGTGTTTGGCAAGGGTCAGGGCTTCTTCGATGGCGGGATTAATCGAAGCAATGGTTTTTGCGAAGTGGACACGAACACGAATTCCTCCAACGAAGACATCACAGTGGAAGTGGAAAATAGATGAACATGACCTTTGGGGAAGATGATGTTTCCTCGTTCCTCTATACAAACATGGTCCAATGGTGGTTGCCATCTCGAGTGTATCACATAGACACTCTCGCAACAAGCTGTCCCAGCTGTAGTGTTTGTCGCAGCTGTAAGGGACTTGAGGGTACAGGTTTGATTGACACCGGTAGTCAGCTAGTTCTTGAATTGGACAAGTCAGGCTCCACATGGCTTGTTCGCGACGAAACAGTGGATTTGAGGCTGGTTCGCGACCCGAGCACGTGACAGTGCCGATCGAAATGCCTGTGGAGATGATTGAACCCATGAGGAATAAGAGTGATCGCTTTGTTTAAGACGTAATTTGCTGGTCCCAAAACAAAAATTGCTCAATTGGACCCTCATCTCTCAGATCCTGGCAATGAACATCGGTGTCCAACAATTGAGAGTTGACAAGTTTGTGCTGCTTGCATGTGCGATGGATCTGATGGATGAGATCTTTAAAAGCGTGAAACACCATGCAGTATAGCTGATCGGTTGCTAGGCAGTTCCTCAGCAGATCACCTGGTGGAGTGACACGTCGACCAGATGTGCACAAAGCCAGGCGGATGTTGAGAATTGTTGAGATGATATAGCTTCAGCCACAGAGAAATGAGCTGAAAAGAACTGGCGGCTGGCGGTTTGTGCATGTTTCTGCGAGAAAAGATTACAGTATAGACTTTCTAGTGGCACCCTGAAAACCACCGGGTCATCAAGATTCAAAAAGGAGCATTTTCTTCCAGGAGGCCTTGTGCAAAAGGTCGATTTTAGTCTGCAGGGAGTTTAAGAGAATGGCCCGATATCCCTTTTTAGGCTTGGCCCGATTTACCCTCTGGCTCACTAACGCGGAAGTGGACAATGGATCCATGGACGATTTTCCACGAACAGGGTGGTGTTCGTCGTTCCATGTTGTGTACTCATTCAGTCATTCATATCGAAGAACCATCATTTCACGAAGGATTGATGCAAAACCAAGTCGACGGTTCTTTTCCTGGTCGAACGGCTCTGGCGAACCGGGTACGGTATGCCCCGATGACCCCGATGGACGATCATCTCAGCTGAAGTGGAACATCGAAGCTACTTCTCCCGTATTAAAACCAAACTAATAGCTTCTAACCTATTAGCGATGGCCTCCAACCTAATAACCTAATAGCTTCCAACCTAGCAGCTTATATTTGCCTATGCCACCGCCGTGTTGTCGCATCCGCCAGCTTCGGCGGACCAGCATTGCAATTGAAGATCCAGTGGTCTCTTGGAAAAGAGGGGGTATAGTAAGTATATATAGTACAAGCCTATATAAATCATATTCGTTATGTGTTTGAGATGGCACGTCCCTTTGTGCGCCGAGTGGGCTCTCGCCAGGGACGGTCCCATCCGCTCATCGTCCCACTCTCCAAGGTCATCTCCGAGCGTTGGCCCCTCCAGCAGCCCAAGACGTGACGGCCAAAAAAAGGGACCGGAAAGCGAGCGGAAAGGACGTGCAAGGTATAGAAATGTTTTGAACGGTCGGATATTACATAATTTACATCTTTGGCTCTTCGTTTCAACCCACAAAGATCAAGTCCGAGATAGTTGGCGTGACGTTGGGGGTTTGATGGGGTTTGGGGATGGTTTGGAATGGGACGTTGGGTGAGAAAAAGGAACCTGGAAGTGGAAAGTCCTGACGTCAGCAGACCCATGCGACGAGACGACCGGGACGACCGGGTATAAAGTCGTGGGCCCCCTTGGTTTATAGGAGGTAGAGAGAAAGGGGTTTGTACACCTGGATCGCGGGCAACAACTATAGATAGGAACCATTGTTTCGTTCAGTAGTCTATAGAGTCTAATTAGGGTCTTAGTCTGTTACTACCAGCGAATCTTCGTGGGAACTGCCTACATCCACTTGGGCACTGTGTGACAACCAAGTGCATCATGAGAGCTTTTTGCCACTACCTTTGGCTCCAGCTGAAGGGCTCCTGTACGCCGAAATTTCGCGACTTCGCTTGGGGGCCAAGCAGTGTGGAAACATGATGAAACACGGCCCGCGACTGGCATATTTACCTACACCGACCTAGGTTGACCTAGGGATGGATTGCAGACGTCGAAGGGAAAAGGTTCAGGCTCGTGGAATCAGGCATTGACCTCAGGGCCTTTTAAAGGTGTCCAAGAACAATCCATCTGAGGATTTCAGGGGTCCACTGCTTCACCTGGGCCGAGAGAGCGGCAGACCGAACTTGGAGTCATATGGAGGAGAGGTGCCCCGCATGACTCGAACGAACCGATGGGACGAAGGGATGGTCCCCACCCCGAGCCGAGCGACATGGGACTTTGTGATCTTCTGGAGACTTCTGGTGGAAGAATCTTTTTTTTTGTTCAGCGAGGCGTCGCGTCATGCGCCTTTTAGAGCAGTAAGCCTGAGAGCAGCTTTAATAAGGCGTTCCTCCAAGGAAGCGCATGAAGATGCATAAGGTATACCCTCCGACGAACGCGTCAGATGGAAGTGCAAAATGGACGCTTGGATGACTATGTTCCTTTACGACCAGGGTGGTTTCCACTTCCATGTGATGTGTTCGTTGGAGTGTATATGCCAGGTACATTTTCCCTGCAATCACCCCAATGTGTAGGCGAGTACGCCAGACCTGGATGCGGTGTTTCTTGCGTTTTCAAGTTCGGTGCCCAGACGACAAAAAAGGGAACCGAACGTTTTATATGATAGTCTTCTCGGAAGGCGCCTGGCGACCAGGTAGTGATGACATTCAATCACAAGACCTGTCCAGCATGTTTGCTGAACTTGGCCGGTTTGATGGGTGGGCATAAATGTTACAAAAGAGCTAATATGTATTACGCTGGGCCGGAGAATGCCCCACATTTGGTCGGTACGTGTTTGTTCTTGTAAAACCCAGATGGGACTGGCATAGGACTGCCGAGAAACGGCCAGGGGTGGTTGACTGGGGTGTCTGGGGCGGCAGTCCGTCCTGGCAGTCCCAGACAGGTCGTGTTTGGGACCGAACCCGTCTCCCGCGGGAGGCGCCCGGAACGATCGGGAGCGAGATGCTTCGCATACGGAGGAAATGACATGCCTATATGGGGGATCACGAGTCAATGGCATGAGGAGGCGCCCTGTGATATGCCAGTTGTGATCTCCTAGACCAAGGCTCCGTCTTTCGAAACCAAAAAAAGGCCGAACGGGGTCGGTTCGAAACCATGAAGAAAATGACGAAATAAGACCCTTTGGAACTCCAGGTGGTGAAGAATTTGGGCCTTTCCTTTGACCCAGGTTTCAAGGTCAAGCGGAAATAGATTCTCAGATGTAATAAGAAATGCGATTTGAACTTCGACCCCTTTGAACGCCCAAGCCTTCCGTCTCCTAGGCGATGGGCTTCAAGCGTACGAGGCCGAACAACGCTCTTCGCCGTTGGTTGCGGCGCCGTTGGTTGCGCAAACCTTCGGGGCTAGGGGTTTCAGTGGGCTGATGTGGCACCCCCCAGATGGTCACATGCCCAAGCGGAAGCGCAGATCAGGGTGGAATCATAGACACGACCTGAGTCCCAGATTGGACTGGCAGCCCATCAGGCCAGGGGTGGTGGACCTGGGGTCAATGTCAGCAAATATTTCAATCCCTGATGGAGTGTTTGAGGCAGACATATTGGGCGGAACTCCGTGGTGCCTCAGGGGTATCCAGAGCCCCAGGATGCCCGCATGAAGAGCAAGACAGACCTCCAAGGAATACCAGATCCAGATGATCCTTTGGGCAAGTTGTTTGCGCCTTTGACCAATTGACAGACCTTTATGTTATATTTTACTCCTTCCTAGTCTTGTGCCTGCTGTTCTTGTGGTGGTGGACAAGCTTAGGGAATGATGGTTTCGCAAGTTTGTCCGTTTTTTGTGTTTTTGAGGTGATGTTTTGGGCGGCAGGGTCAACAAACACCAGCGGGACGACAGTCTTTGTTCCTAGAAGGGGGTAGAGACAACAACACTTTTTGAGGGGAGTGGCAACAAACAACTGTGGGGGGCTCCAGTTTGTTTCTAGCATGTGGTAGTAGTAGGGGTTCCTCTAGATGGTACTGGTAGTAGTAGAAGTAGGAGTAGAAGCGGGCGTAGGAGTAGGAGCAGGAGGAATAGTAATAGTAGTAATAGTAGTAGTACTAGTAGTAGTAGTAGTAGTAGAAGAAGAAGAAGTAGAGTAGTAGTAGAAGTAGGAGTAGAAGTAGGCGTAGGAGTAGGAGAAGGAGGAGTAGTAATAGTAATAGTAGTAATAGTAGTAGTTGTTGTTGTCGTAGTCGTAGTCGTAGTGGTACTACTCTTATTGTTTTTTATATTAATTAGTCGTCGTCGTCGTCGTCGCCGCGAATGAATGATCGCGCCTGGCAGAACTGCGAGGTACTTCTGGCTGCTCCCGCTTGTGGCATGGCTCTCCTGCACTGTTTTTGTGTGTGCGTTGTTTTTTTGCGAAGAAGGGCGGCTTGGGGTGCATGGTGGACATCCGATCATGGGCAATGTCCGCTTATGTCCGCTTGGGATTTTATTGAGTTCGTTATGTCAAACACGCTGAACATTTGCTGTCCAAGGTTGGGTTCACTGGTCACTGGCCAGTCATTGTGATAGAATATATGTGAAAACAAGCTATATGAAACCATAGGAGTTAAAAGATACCATAAAATGGTTTGGGTCCCCTTTGGGAATTGCAGCTTGACTGTAACTTCAAATCTGATCTGCTCGGTTACAGCGGCAGAGCAATTGAGCGCATGTGTTTTCATCCAAAGTCATCCGAATGCACCGATGAAGGCAGAAATCCCGGTAGACGATCCCAAAAGCGCGAATAAGAAGACACACCAACATGTGGGGTCGACTCTTTCGTGCTGCGCCAGGGGAGCCTTCAGCTTGAGTTTTTTGAACAACTTGGCGCCAACGCAGAGGTGCGGTGTAAGGGTGTGATGACGACTCCCAGTGATGCGACTGAGCTCATCGCAGAGCACCGAGGGACAGCTCGCTCATCAGATCATGCTGCCTTTTGATGACTGTTGATGAACACCACCCCACTATAGCTGGATGGTCATTGGCCAGGAGAAGAGTTTGGGGGTTATTAAGAACTCCTTAAGAGGTTAATGACTGTCCAATCTCTCCAGTAACCATCCCATTTTGGGGTGGTTGGTTTCACTTCTTTCAGCTTCTTTCAGCTTCTTAACGACTACGACCGACCGGTGAACCCCTAAACCCAAGACCCCATCGCTGCTCGCAGCGATCCAGGTCTCTCAATCACCGGAATTCGTGGTGCTTTTCTGAAGAACCACCGTGGGACACGTCAGAGGATGTCAGATGTAGATCAAGCTGGGTAGTT